TATCTGTAATTTGAGTTTCTAATTCGTATGAAACTATAGACTTGGTATTTTGACTTCACAAACAACTAATTTGAACCAGTGCTGCATTCAACATATCACGTGACACACAAAAATTGATGTTTATCTATATTTTTTAATATTTACTTTTAAATTAACAAATTGAGTATTGTATAGTTCTAAAATTTGAATTATAATCTACAGTTTGATACCAAACTTATTGACTTAAATTCATGAAATAGTAGTTCAATAAAATTTTGAATGCAGTCAACAAACGAGATGACATGACCTTTCACCTGTGACCCGTCTCGAAAGGGTTAATCTGACTATTAAACCACATGAATATGTAAGTATAATGTTACAGTTAAATTGAGAGATAAGGTATCTAAAATAAAGTATCTTTATAATTAAGCAAAAAACCCTTGCAAGTAAATTCATCAAAGTTAACCCACAGCTATAACAAAGAAAAAGATGAATTTACACTGAGAAAGTTATTACAAACTGTGGAATGTGTACACACTTCTTAATCTGACTATTAAACAACATGACTTTATGATAAAAACTTAAAAAACCTAACAAAGTGACAATAAGGAATACATAATACAAAAACTGTGCAGTGGATTTCAAGATTCAAATGATACACGAAAAGCTGAAAGATGGGAGAACAGATCAAAAGTAATGATGAAAACTTTGTTCAGGACCTTGAATAAAGAGCTGACAGGAGAAAACAAATACACTCAAGTAAAATCCTCTCCACTGTTGTGTAACGCTACAAAATCAGATGCTTCTCATACTTCATCAAAGGAAAGCCTGCTACAGGTATTTCCCAGACACAGTGGTTTCTATAAATTAATCTATTTAGAATTGCAGTGATAATTTATAGTTACTGATTTGAAATATGTCAATCAGCAGGAGAGAGTACAAGCACATGCACCCCCGACTAAATAGATCAACTGTACATTTTGAAGAAGTTTGCATATTTTATGCTATTACACCACACATGCAATAGTGGTAAGTTCACTGGACACTACTATTTTGTAAATTTTTAGTTAGGAAGTTAACCTCATTTGCACATGTATGTTTTATAAAAATGAATGTCATTATGGAATTCCAGTAACAGAAAAATAAATCCCTTTTTCCTCTGAAGCCTCAAAAGCCATTTTAACTAGACTGTATTAAATGACTCCCATAAGAAATAAGTTTAACTTCAGAAACTGGTTGCAACTATCAAAGTTTGACATAAAGTAAGACCCCAAACAAGCAGAATACATAATGCTTAACAGCTGAAAGTAAGCAGCAAACTATAAAATCAGGAAAAAAACAACAACAAAAAGTTAACCTCCTGTGAGTGTACCTCCTGCAAGACAAATATTAACGAAGAAATATACCAATGCTCATAAAAGCAAACTACCAAACACAAATTTCAGACAGTTAAAACTGTGATGTGCCTAGTAGGAATAAGATTGAAAAGTCTTGAAGAAAGAGCTATCTAAAAACAGAACTAAGTCACAATGAGGATCACTAAAAAAAAAGTATTAAAGCTAAACATTATTTGTTCCTGGTTAAATGTCAAAACAGTCTAATAGATGTGAAATAAAAAACATACAATACTCACAAAAAGATAAAATACAAAGTAATCTTACTACTAGACTATTGCCATTAAGTCACCAAGAGTTAATTTTGTAAAAGCACATAAAATCTCAGTAATTCAGATTTACTAAACTCTTCATAATCAAGCTTTTAAATAACCTCATTAAACTTAAAGCAATTTAACAAAGATGGCAAAAAACAACAAACACTATATGCAAGTGAAAACTGTATCAGAGTAATATTTTCATACATTAACCTTATGTACACACTTGGGAGTCCAAGTGAGCATGTCATAACCTTTTACAGAGTGCCATTCAACACAGTATAATGTATTTGATGTTAGAGTTATCAACTATTCATTTTACCCTACACTGCTGATTTCCCAATAGTTTATGATAGAGGAGAGTAAATACCAGATACAGTATACAGGGACACTGAAAAAAGAACTGTAGATATGCATTTTGAATGTTCTAGAGGTTGTGCTAACAGTAAGATGGACAGAACTATTGTTATTCTTCACGTGAACATCATCCTGACTTGTCAGAGTCAGACTGACATTATGAATTTACAGATTATCTTGAACACAAATACCTTTGTCACATATGATTTTTTTTTACAATGTATTTGCACTTTTTACCAAAAGTTCACCACATTTCATATTGATATATGTAGTAAAATTGGAATTATAGAGAACATTCCTTCTCAAATAAAAGGTTGGTCCATTAGATCAAGCCAGCAAGCATTTGTTTAAAGATTAATGAGGTTTTCACAAATTTACCGAAATTGAAAATGTTTGCAAAAGTTATATCTTAATACGTTCTTAGAATAAATTTGTCCTATACAATGACAAATTGTAATATCCTAATATCATTGTAATATCCTAAACTGGAAAAAAGATATTAGTAAAGTTCATAAGTTTGAAATGCTGCAACTAACTGGTTTTTGAAACACCTTGATTGCTGAGGATTATTTAAATACACTAGTGTAAGTAAATACGTGGATAAACAGTAACACTTGCTTAACATCAACAAAAGCCTCACCTTACATAGATTAACAATAATAGAATCTTTAAAATGAAACCAGAATTACTGAAGCAAAAACGACAACATATTTTATTAGTCTAATTTAATATGGCATTCATGATATGATCCTTTATAATGCTCAGAACCCTACTTATAATAAACTATTCAGCAGCTTTACTTTAATTTTAAATAAAATGTTTAAATGTGGTTTTTATAAATTCTAAACGTATATAAAAAAGGAAACTACAGCATCACACACAATATTCATCATAAACATTTTCTTAAGTTATGTTTGCAAACACTGTAGTTTTGATCAGTCTTTGTTGCTAAAGAATAAAAGTGTAATTAAGCTTATTTTCAGAACATAAAATATAATTCTGACAGTTTTCACAAGAATTCTAATATTATAATAACAGTTTCAGTTGAATCATGTCATACCCTAACCTACTAATACTGCTTTGAACACAAAATGGTATAACTCTTCCCTTACCCAAGCTCTTCAACTGGCAAGCTGTAACTGGGATCCATTTCAGGTCCTGTTAGGGTCAAACGATTGAGTCTGTTTGTGCGTTCCTCCCATGAAAGAGACGTGTCTGATAAAACATTTTGTTTTTTAACTGACAGTTCTGTAAGCTGCTGTAGAAACCTGCCTTTGTGAGGGTTTACCTGATAATACAAATATTTTATGGTTTGATCTAGTTTATGCTAATGATAATTAAATTATAAATCAAAATAAGTCATATAAATTATAAAATCATTGCACTGAATAGTATTCTACTAACCATTGCCTGATTTACAACAAAAATAGTTATTTCTTATAATTCTGTTTTTCAAGGACTTCCAACAAGATACTCATTACACTTTTGAAAACTTCCTGGTTTTATCTCACTATCCAAAGAAACATTCCATTTGGCGTTTTTTTCAAGAAATTAAACCTATAGTTATTCTCAAAAGTCTTTATATTTGTACAATGCTTTTCACTTGACAAGTGATCTTAGAGCAGTTTCACCTATCTTGCACCAATCTCTTACTTTTCAAGACAATCATGAAATTTAAGGACTTTTCAAGTTCTGGGCAAACCCTGTAACATATTTTTCTACTAATGTATATTACTACTAAATTTGAAACAATAAAAGCAAAAGACCTACAATGAAAATAACCTAAAAATACTAATTCACAAAAATAATATTTCTGGGCACTCAAACAAAAAAAAAAATGAAAAACTAATAAAAAAAACTGATTGTGAAAGATCAGGTCATTTTGTAAGAAGAGAGAGGTTTCTGTACGGTGTGTTCTAATGCTGCTCCTTTTTTTAAGTTAGTCTTAGCATCTCGTCATTGCTCTTAAAAGTTATTTCCATCCATTAATAAGTATATATTTTGCTGTTATTTAAAATCTAGTTATTTTTAATTTTTCAAATAACAATGCACTAAAGTTTGTTACTTCTTAATGATTTATGAATAAAATATTCCAATTTTTACCACAAGCAAATATTTCAGGCTATACATTGCAGCACAGCTACCTGATTCGGTGACGAGGAATCCACTTTGAGACTAATAATGGTTGGAGATGGCTTGAATGGGTAATGAAGAAAAACTTTAATATAAGTTTAACATTACAGCAAATGTACAACGTTTCGACAAGGTTTT